GGGTGGGAGCCTTCTCTCTTTACCTGTGCGGACTCCATCTCCGGATCCCCTCCCATGACAGCGTGGGAGTGCTCGCGCTCTCTCACGTGCACACTCGCTCTCTCTCTGTCTCTGCCTAATAAATCGTTTTTCTGCAAAATTCTCTGGGTCCAATATTTACTTGAATGAGCTCACCGCACCACCAGGGCCCTCTCCCATTCTTGGGTGAGTGAGGCCCAAGGACCTGGGAAAACACATCCCACTGGGGAACGGTGAGCCTCTTTGGGACCCCTGCAGCCCTGCTCCTGTCCCCTGATTACAGTATCATCCTTCTCCTCCACTTCGCAGGAGGCTGGAGCACTGAGAGGTCAAGTAACTCGGCCAAAAGCTCACAACTGGAAAGGGACTGTCAGGATGTCCACCCAGATAGTCCGGCTCCAGAGTCCATGCTTCTAGCCCCACTACACTGCAGTTTCTGATTTAATGGGCTGCATCTTTGTCCAATAAAGAGAAAATTTTGCATTTACTTTTGTAGGCATCTTATCTACAATTAAAGCCAACTTTTCTCTATCAGGGAAAACAGATAAAAGATTTACCCTACTGGGTAAATCAGTTATTATCCTATTTACCCTCTTGAGTATTTATCCTATTTTATTTACCCCACTGTGTAAATCAAATATTGTTCACAATTTGTGTTTATGGCCCTACCATTAACAACACTTGTGTTGACAAGAAATATTCTAGACCAACCCTCTCAGGCTTCCTTCGATCCATTCCTTTTGCGAGTCCATAGACATAATCAGATCCCCTTTCCTTTCCAAAAAGCAGCTTCCAACCATTCTCAAGCACTTCTCCCCTACTGCTCAGTGAGGTTTAATATAGCATCCCAGAGCAGCCAAGCATACACAGCCCTAGGGCACCCAACACAGAGGCCCAGGAAGCTTCCCTAGACAAGAACTAGTGTTGATCAAGAAAGTCTCCATGTTCTGTGCTGTTCTGTGATAATCTGCCTGTCTTCCTTTGATCTAACGTTAAAGTGGGCAAACTAAACCCTGGACAATCTGGGAAAGCCAAAAGAGTGATTCCATTCTTTTTCTGTGGTAATAATAATAAAATTTTCTGTTCTGCAGAGCTGGTGTTTTTACTGAAGTCTCTTCCAAAGAATGCTATGCTTTTAGGATGTTAAAACCCAAAGGCCCTAGGATTTTTTCCTTTTTCAAAAATGGATGGTTCTCCTTTTCATTTAAGGTACAGTTTAGAAAGAAGCAGCCTGTAAAACCAATTAACTAATTGGAAATCACTTAATGACTGTAGCAGCATTTTGGATTTCCGGCGTTGGTTCACAGCAGTAAAGAGAAATTGCTTTCCAATATTATGATAAGGTAAGCTGTGGAGGTCTCACAGGGGGCGGTTGAAGGCTGCTGAGAGAAACAATCAGCTCTAATATGCCCACCAAAATAATGGAGACATTATAACATGGAACTCAGTGATTGTAAAGTAAGCACAACATAAAAATCCAAAGATATGTGGAGATCTGCTGAGAATAAATGTGCAGCCATAGTTCCTTGCTATGATTTTTTTTGAGAGCTTACAATCTTCACATAGACATTATGCTGGGGAAATTGCTCTTCCAGAGACAGCCAGGCATGTGTGGAAAAGGAGATGACATGAGGAGAAGGAAAAAATAATAGAGTTCCAGTGCTTACCCTGGAACAACTGTTCAATTAATTGTTTAGCATGAATATAGTCATTGCTCACATTAGGGAAATAATCTAGTTAATTGCTCAAGAGTTAACATAGCCAGAGAAAATAAATTACCCCAAACAAAATATTTTATCCATTCGCCATTTGTTTGTCTTAAGGTAGTTAATTCTCTTAGCATATTTCCAAATATCATAATTCATTAAACCAAAATCATCCCTGTAGAAAACTATATCAGCAATACCTCACTCCTCTTTTACTTTAAAAGAGAGGCATAGGGATACGTATGGGGAAAAGGACTTTAAACTTTCCTTGAGGTGGATACTTGGTCCTTATTTCTCCCAGGCCTCAGAATTCTTTTGTGAGTGTGGCAATCTTTTCCCCTCCCTTTGCCTTAGTTTACTTAGCTGTAAAATGGACTGACACATGTTAGAAGACATATGTATTCAAATGATGCTCAAATTTTACAAACACAAAGCTAGAACACTACAAATTCTTCCAGCAATGACAAACTTTCATTTTTTTTCTTCCCCATTAGTACAGTAAGTTTGGGCAACGAAGACTCTCTCTCAGAGATATTTGCTGTTGTTTTCCAACAGGAAGGAAATTCTATACACATGCTTGTCACTCCACTGCCTACATTTGGGCCTTATCTAGTCCCCAGCTTTATTAATCCAGTAATGACAAGCAATGTATTAGATGCCTCCACTGGGTATTGCCTTAGATGCTTGCTTTGCGTTCAGCTGTTACTCAAAGGACAAGAGGACAGGAGGTGTACTCTGTTCAAGCAGCAGCATAAAAACCAGTGCCACTCACACAAATCGCTGTGCCAAGCATTAGCCCACCAGATCATGGGACAACATTCGCCCTTTCTTATTACCAGCCTCATATAGTAGGTGCTCATTCAAAGCAGGACTCACATTGTAGAGTTACATGCCTGGAAGTCCTTCGTACAAGAAAACACCCAGGGTGAGGTGGGCAACATTAGTACTATAACACACTGATGATTCTCCCTTTAAAAGCAATGTTTTGGGCCTGGTGCAGCGGCTCACGCCTGTAATCCCAGCACTTTGGGAGGCTGAGGCAGGTGGATCACAAGGTCAGGAGATTGAGACCATCCTGGCTAACATGGTGAAACCCCATCTCAAAAAAAAAAAAAAAACAGTGTTTCATGCTGAGCAAATTATTACCTGTTTAAATTATTACCTTTCCTAGCACTTAATTTCTCATCTGCATTCCAGAAAGTGACATCCTTCAAACATCCAGATTATATCAAGACAACAGGGTTGATAAACTGATTTTTAGTTACAATAAAGATGATCAATAGGGGCTAGGCGCAGTGGCTCACACCTGTAATCCCAGCACTTTGAGAGGCCAAGGCGGGTGGATCAGAACGTCAGAAGATCAAGACCATCCTGGCCAATATGGTGAAACCCTGTCTCTACTAAAATACAAAAAACTAGCAGGGCATGGTAGTACGTGCCTGTAGTCCCAGCTACTCACAAGGCTGAGGCAGGAGAGCTGCTTGAACCCAGGAGGCGGAGGCTGCAGTGAGTTGAGATTGTGCCACTGCACTCCAGCCTGGTGACAGAGCAAGACTCTGTCTCAAAAAAATAAATAAATAAATAAAGATGATCAATAGGTAAAACAGAACATTGACTCTAATGATACAGCAGAGGAGCAACCACAGCAAGAATGTCCCAGATGTGAGCTGGACTACCCCATGAAATAGCAAGGATAACATTCCAGTCTTCTTAATAAAAGAAAAACCTCCAAGCTATCAAAGGAGAAAAATCCTGCAAATTAACCTTTCAGACTGATTCAGAACATTTTCCAGGATGATGCACCTGAAGAAAAACATGTGATTCAATTAATAGCGTTTGTCAAGTTGCAGACTGATCCAAAGGTGAGGCTACACCTACGAAGACAGGCTGAATGCCAGCTCCTGTAGCCTCATTTGCAAAGCTCGGCACTCTGGAGCTTAAATGTCCCTGCTTAACAAATGGGGAGCAATTTAGTCTGTTGTATAAAGACAAGAGCAAGGCCAAAGTCTAACAATAGCTCGCCTCTCGCCGAGTCCTTGAATTAGTAAATGTTATTACGAAAGGAAAATATACTTTTATCTAGGTTGTTACGTTTTCCCTCTGCTGTCCTCTGTGGCTTTGCGTATAAGCTCATAGTTTTTAGTTAAATTGGACAATTACTGAGTGAGAAGTGCATAATTAATGAACAGTCACTGTATATGTTTGGAAAACTGTGACCCAATCACTGAACAGATAACTGAACCACTAAAATAAATGACTTGTTCCACTCATTACCTGATAAGCATTTGTTTAGAAGTTCCTTGGTGCCCTATCAAAATTCTAATCAGTTCTATTTAAATTACATTTTTTTGCACTGCATTGTTATAAATGCTAATTTATGCCTAGAATGGAACAGCTTTATTTCTTACCTCCTGAAGAAACGGATGAATAAAAACGTACTTCTACAGGGCATAAAAGATTATCAAGGGTTCAATGACTATTGGATTTTGCACTTGCCAAAACACATCCTGAGACATCGAGCTGAAGTTCTAGGGGACAACAAGGACATTCAAAGCCTCCCACAGCAAAGCTATCCCCAAGAGGAGACTGAGGACTGTCACAGCAGCATCTGCAATCACCACCGGGATTTTCTGCGCTTGGGGACTGGGCAGTCTTTGGGGTGGTCAAGGGAAAGAAGGGAAAATTCTCACAACTTGAGAATAATGATCCAAAGAATCTTAAAGGCAGATGGTCATTTCAGAATCTCTAGACAACTTTTGTGCATGGAGAGGGATTTCTCCAAGCCTGGTAGCCCATCTGCTTTTGTGGTGATGTCCATGTCCACCAGCTTGTAGGCGGTGGCAGATCTCACATGGTAACTCCATATATTTTTTCACAATTAGTTTGGTCACCAAACTTAGCACCAAGATGTCACTCCAAGCAACTCAGGCAGTTCCACCCAAGAGAAGACTAAAGCACTGTTTTGCTTTCTCTGATGTACAAGTCTTGACCACTTGCAGCCTAGGGGTGGCCCAGACAGGCCCTAAGTCATTTGAGATCTAGAGGACCTCAGAAGAGAGAAGATTGAAGCTGGTGTTCCAGAAATAGCTAGCAATCTCCTAATGAGGCCACAAAAGTCCTGTCTTTAAAAGTGCCTCAGCCACTATGATGTTCCCTCCCATCCCAGGCTCAGCGTCTCTGGAAGTCAGCGAGCCTGCCATTATCCTGCCTGGCGTGGGAGGCATCACATTCAGAATTCATTGCCAGAAGTTTTTTATAAGCTGAGGAATTACCTTGAGAGGATTGAATTTCCAAGCGCAAGTCAGCACCTGGTGGGGAGGCTGGGGCCACCTCAATCATCCTGTACCCGGGAGTCTCTTGCAGAGAGTAGGCGAGGCGAGGCTGGATCAGGCTGGCTTAGGGCCGCTTGGCCAAGGGGCTAGAAAACGCAGGTTCACAAAGGCATTTAACCTCGTTTAAGCATTGCAATGTGGCTGAGGCTTAAACAAGGCTGGGACATTTTCTCACTTATTATCACCTTGATAACCTTTTCCTGTAGGTAGGAAGGGGTGGCATGAGAAAGCGGGGCACAGGGAGATATTGGGGGGGGCATGGCACTGAGCAGGAGGGGAGCAAGCTGCTGTTTTTCCTGTTTTCTGAGTGCCTTTGGAAAGAGAGGAAGGATGTTTGCTCTCTAAATATTTTTACTTTTAAATAGAAACCGTTTTCCAGACTGCACGGCTAATCACTTCATAGAAAAGGGAAGAAAAGAATAGCTTTCATTCACTTTCTTTGAAACCTATTCATTACAGTTTGAAAGCAAAATTTCTCTATGAAATACCTAAGTAATGGCAGCATTTCTACAAGATCTAAGCGTGGGGGTGAGGGAGCAGAGATGGGAGAAGTAAGCAGAGCCCAGGAATAGCTGTGCTTGCGTCATCCAGGAGAGAAGAGGAACTGATCACCTTCGTCTACTGGAAGTGGTGGCAGGGGTGGGGAGCAACATGGTCCCCTCCCCACACCTTCCCAAAGAGGCACTAACAGCACTCCTGTCTGCCCTGTGGCTGAAACCAATCTTAAAAGAAGTCTTTTTAGAGAAATTAAACTTTACAATGATTGTTTCTCAATCTTATTTAAATCAATTATAATAATAACTGATTCTAATTTGCATTAAAATCTCTCATTGTCCTCTAAAGCTATTTGAACCAAACCCAAATTAAAGCTCTGTGATGGAAGCAAGCGGGTTTAAAAGCCTCATTGCAGTTCCTACCAGCAGATGACTATGACTCTAATACCCATCCACCACTCTCTCTGCCTGAGCATCCTTGGACTGACAATCAAAAGTCCTAGATAATATTTCTAGGACTATACAAATCTTTGTATAACTTATCTTTGAGTTATAAAATTTCACTGTTCTAATCTGGAAAATTAAGTCCCTGGGAGAGCACGTGTTGTCTACCAAATGTCCACAGATTGTGAGGCTCAGTCACCACTGTGATTATCTTATTATTATTATTGTCACTGCAGGCATTTAACATTAACTGAGGAGCTACAATTTCCCTGACTCTATCCAGGATAAATGATATAGGAGTTTTACAGAATCATAGTTACCACTGACTCTGGGCCAATAATTTGGCATTTCATCTCAAAATGTTGCTCATATCAGAAATGTGAGACAAGAGGTCAAATGAGAAGACATCCTCCATCTGCGAAGTGATTCGCATTTTCAATATGTCAATTTAGCCTCCATCCATATCAGTTATAAAGCTGTGGAATAACCGCAGATAGAGTCCTGTGACATCTCACTAGAGGCTTCATTCCAACTTAAAATTGGTAATTAATCAATATTACATATATTTTATAGTTCAATCCTCTTAGCAATTACTTGGAAGACAAAACAGATAATGCTTGTTAAATGTTAAGATGGTATAAATCTGGGAGAAATAGTTAATATTTGAGATTCCACGTGACTCAAAGTTCTTGCCAGGCTGGAGCAATAGGAAAAAATTATATGAGATACCACAAAAATAAACACAACCCTGCACTTAAGTTCAAAATGCCAATTTAGGTACATTATGTTTTGCCAGAAATCATGTGAAAAGCCAGAGGGGCTTTTACTGTGTGCTTTAAAATCAGGAGAAGCCAGTGTGATACAGCTACATAAAATGCTAACAGAATTTTAGATGACAATAACAGACATCTAGTCCAAAACAGAAGAGGTAATGGTTATGTTGTACAGTGGTCAGACATCACATCGCTAAGAGAGAAAAGGTAACACAATCTCCTTCACCAACTCTGCAAATTTGAAGACATCATTTGAGCCTTAGTGTTCTCATCTGAAAACGGAAACAATAGCAGGCAACAGAGATATTCTTGTAAAATTTTTGTAAAATCAAATGAGTTAGTCTTAAAAGTGTTTTGAAAATTATGAAGTAGCATTGCACTGGACATCTGCTATTTGTCACTCAATAATCACCTTCCTCTTTTTGGCAATTTCAATTCAGCCCTCTTTTGGGGAACCTCTCCTCCATCATTCTTACCACTTGGTGGGCCCAGCTTGGCTGAGGCTGCAGAGATGGGTTTAGGAATGGCCACATGACCCAGTCAGGGCCAAGGAGACATGAGGAGACTATGCGAGGGCTTTTGAGAACAAAGAGCTCTTGCTCCTTAACTGTATTTGGTCATATAAAGGGTTGAGTCTTACAATAGCATCCTGCTACCCAGGGAGAAGTCAGCCTGAAGATGAAGCTTAACCAACAGAAGTGGGGAGAAAAGGCAGAAATGAAAGAGACAAAGAAATAAGCCCTGATGATCTCATTTGATATTCTGGATCAGACCCTCTCAGCCAAAGCCAGTATTCCCTTGCACTGTTCTATATTCCAAGCCCATATATTAAATTTTTTTGTCAGTTTGAACAGGGTTTTTATGTCCCTTGCAACAGAAAGAGTCCTACAATTGTGTATTTATTCTTATGTCTTGGAAAATCCAGTTATTTAAATATATGGAAATAATACATGAGAGAGTTTTCAAGTAGAAAATATAGACTCCACAAAAATCAAATTTGTTTAAATTGTGTTAGATTATTATAATTCTGTTAGATTGTTACGGTGACTGTGTTTACTAATACAAGCAAAATTTCATTATTGACTATGTCTTGGATTCTAAGACCTACATAAGAATTTATGTAACAACTTTGTTCTAAAAGGAATTTTCTTTAGCATTCTGCCTCTGGGAAATCCATGTTTCCAGCCTACCCCATCTTGTCTTCCTTGTCTTCCTGCTGAGCTAATCGCCAGATCTCCAACTAAAACAGCAGTGCCCATCTCTGATTAATGGGCTCTTTCTCCCCACCTTTTTTAATGGCTTTCTCCCATTGCGATTTCAATCAGAACATCCCTGGGAATCCCTCCTGGTGCCTCTCCAGGATCACTGCTATTGCCATTTCTTATAGACTCCTCCCGAAGAAGAGAAAAACCAAAGAAATGTCCCCATACTCCAAAGCTGGGATCAATGTGGAATGTGGAAAATAAATTATAGCATTTTCCAGCCAAAAAGGCCTAAAAACATCAACCCCTGATCAACAATGGGCTAAATCCAGCCCACCCGATTTTTATTTTCAATTGCTTTATACATAAAGTTTTATTTGAACACAGCCATGCCTGTTTGTAACATATATTTGTCTGCTTTCATGCTATAATAGCAAAGCTGAATGGTTGTGACAGAGACCATATGGCCTGTCAAACCTAAAATAGTTACTCTCTGGCCCTTTACAGAAAAAGTTTGCTAACCTCTAATCTAGTCCAATCACCTAGTTCTTAAAAAGAAGCTTAGGCCCAGAAAGACGAGCTAATCATACACAAAAGACCAAATCCAAGTTTGTTTCACACGATAGTATTTTCATGTTCTATTCCTGTCTACTAGATTAGAGGTGTCTTGCAGGCAGAGATTGTGCCTCGTGTTTCTGTGATATCCCAAACCATAGAGGCTGAATACTGAAGTGTCCATTAAAACTAGTTAGATAAATGCAAAGGTATTGAGGAGATAATGAATTTATTCAGAGACGCCTATGTAAACCATCTCCCCTCCTGCCTCCACAGCCTCCAAATATTTGTAGCCACAAACCAGTGATTCTCCATGGGACATCAAGTCACTATTTGTGACGTCATCCGTCATCTATAAAACGGCCTGAAAGTATCCGCCTCACAGAATGGTGAGGCTCAGATGAGATAAAGTGTGGAAGGCACGTAGCACAGAGCCTGGCACATGTCAAAGGGTAGTAGGTTACTGTGATGTCTATCATAAAAAAGGAGGCACCCTGAGACATAATTGGGTCTTACAGGGAACATGTATTTTGCTAATATTACTGTACTGCGGACTTCTCCCAGATACCTCCATAAGCAATGGGGGAACATATACAAAGGTGGGCTCGAACACTTCATTTCTGCAAACAATTGAATCCATATTCAATTGCTGTCACACAAGGAAGTTTGAGCACAAGTGACAGAAACACGGTTCTCCCAGATCCCAACAGCACCAGTAGTACTAGAAGGAGAGAAAAAGATTCTTTCCCTGGAGATAAGGCATTACAAACGTCATTACTTAATAAAGTAAGGAAAAATGTAGCATTGTGTCAAATAGCATGCGTACAGCATGAATCCAATAGTGAGCAAGGACATCTGTCCTGATTCTCCCTACCATGGAAATAGTCCCACCCGATACCAGGGGCTTTCCTCTGGCCACATCAGCCCTTGTCTATTCTGACTAAACCTTCTTTAGATTTTATGGCAGTAACTTTCTCAACTAATAGGAATGTATCATCATTGCTCAACAGCATACCGTATTTACTGCATGAAACTTTTAGCTATGGGCAAAATATTTTCACCAGCCAGCCCATCCTCTTGCCAAAGAATTATGCTTATAAAACTGTGTTGTATTTTGATAGACCCCAATATGGAAATAAGAAGAGAATAATAAGCCTATGATCCCAGTCAAATAGAAACAGCCAAGCACTCATCCTTCATTCCTCCTCTCTTCCTGGTCTAAGGTGGTACCTCGCAGTGACCCTTTTCTCTGTTGTTGTTTTTGTTTTGGGACAGAGTCTTACTCTCTTGCCCAGGCTGTAGTGCAGTAGCACAATCACAGCTCACTGCAGCCTCAAACTCCCAGGCCCATGAAGTCCCCCCTGCCTCAGTCTCCTGAGTAGCTGACACTATATGCCTGTGTCACCACACCCGGGTAAGTTTTTGATTTTTTTGTAAAGACAGCATCTCGCTATGCTGCCCAGGTTGCAATACCCCTTTAAATAAATATCCCTTTAGAACCTGACAAGAACGTGTAGAACAATATCGTCTACCCTCTCCTCTACCCAACTCCTTCTTTTGATGCCAATCACAGGGAGTAAACATTTTTCCAGAATTACTTAGCCCATATCAGGAATCAAACCCTACATGCAGTCCTCTGTGATGTGCTAAACTCATCTGCTTAGGTCCTGGCAGCCAGAAAAAATGACTGGGGGCTAATAACTAGTCAACCCCCCATTAGGAGGGCCTTTCCCACCCAGGCCCCCATTCCTACTGCCACCATCTGTGTTTGTTCTTCTGCTACATAAGAATTCAAACTGGGTGGTAGGCCTGTTATTTTTAAAAGTCTTACAGTAGCGTCTATACCCAGAACCGCCTCATCACAATTATCCTCACCAAACGAGGAAACTTCACATGGAGAATGGATCTGGTTTTCAGCCAGCACCAAATGTCTCTCCTTCTGCCTTTTTGTCATTCCGATCAATCAGAACATGTGAAACTCCCAAATGAAGAGTAAACACACAGCCCAGGTTCCTTTCATCTCCTAACATATGTCATGAAGGGGGAGGGAGAAAATTCTATTCCCAGCTTCAATCAGCCCTTGGTATTCTGCGAAGCTGAAAGGAGGTTGCGTGGCGCTGTGGAGGAGTGCCGAACGTGGGCCGGCTCCTCCGAAGATAATAGGTATTCGCTGCATACCTGAGTCTTGGAGTCATTATCTCTCCTGTGAGCACTTCTGTATTTATATATAATGAGATCATTACTAGGCAGCTATTCCAGTTTTATTCAGACTTTAATATTTCTTAAAGAAAAAAAAGTAGCATACAAAAGGGTTTGTGATGCCAACTCAATCAGACGTGCTGTTGATGGAAAATTATTCAAGTGCAAGCCAGAACAGGCAAAAAAATTTTCAGAGAGGTTTCTGTCAAAGCTGAGTTCTCCTGTGACGATGTTTCAAGCGAATGTGCCGAAGTGTCCAGAGGTGAGGAAGGAAAATAACAACGAACAGAAGAGAGGGCTGTGTATAGGATTAAAAACGAGGCACGTCGCAGCCTAACTATTCAGGCAGGTAGGGCATGTGCCTCCTGCCGAGACTCGACTCCCACCCCCGCTTTCAGTGGGTAATTAGACCAGGGAAGCAGCTTTACTTGCCGTCAGCTTCACTAGGAGCAGTCAGGTTTTAGAAATTAACCCTTTGGTGGGTGCTAGTGCCTTTTGTGATTGAACTCCGGTGGATAGGCAAGGTAGGTAAAGGCAATTCCTTCCTCCTCTCACAATATGCTTTAAAGAAGGGAGTTTCTGTCTCTTCAGTCTCATTGCATCTTCAGGGGGAAAAAAGAAATAGAGAAGAATTTTCTTTCCCTTTGTCCAGAGAACCCCCATTCACAGAAAATGGCTAGAAATTCAGTGCCCCTGCTAATCAAATATTCTGGGAAAGGCTCTATCCATTTTCAGCAAATTAGAAAATCAAATGAAATCAATTGAATACTAAAACAAACAAGAAGGAATCTCTCTTGATAGTCCAGACAGCACCTCAGGATGATGCCAAGCCTTGGGTGACAACTGTGAAGGTGGGGTTCCGCACTGGCCCCCACTTTTAGAAATACACTCTGCTAACGTGAGCTCTCTGGATGTTTGCACTTTGGAGAAATACAAGCTTACTGATTCATTTCTGGGATCTATGCTTTATCCTGTGATACAAATCCAAGAAGACTATCATTTTAGCTCTTCGTTCCCTGTCCTGAAACTGCAGATGGGAATAAGCAGATGGAGCAGGGATGCAGACTTGTCATCACATAAACACGAAATGAAAGGATCCTGGCTCTTTTCTTATGGTGGTTGTAAAGCACCCATTATTTTTCTCCTAGCACTTCCTAACAGGCAAAACCAAAATAACATAGGAAGGAAATTTACAGAATGCGCATGCTGTCCACTGAGCCCCCAAACACTACTCAAAATAGCACTGGTAGATTTTTTATTATTATTATTTTTGTTATTCTACTTAAAGAGATACCCTGTCATGGTTAGGAGTTAGTTCTGATAACATTGTTAAGGCTATTTTATAGATCCTAGTCTTAGGATGTACTCAATGTTTAGAAATCAGTTTGGAAAGGAAGAAAAGAAGGGAGAGGAAGGAAAAGAGGGAGGGAGGAAGGAAAGAGAGAGAAAAGGAAGAAAGGCAAGGCAGGCAAGTGGGTGGGAGGAGGAGAGAAGGGTGGGAGGATAGAGATCTCGGGCTCTGTAAAGTGTAGCTATCTCTGCTATAATCTATACTCTGTAGGCAAAGAAGTGCATCAAAATAGTCCTAAAAAACACTTGAACTTAAAGAGATATAAACAATGAAAACGAGAATAATTTTATCTCCTCAATTAAATCCACAATAGCTAATCATAGTAACTATTTTGAGATTAACTCCTTGAAAAGGGGAAGAATCAGCTCAAGTAAGACTTATTAAATGTCTGTCCATTGTTCACTATTGCACTATTGTGTGTTAGCAAGTTTGGGGGTGGGGGAGCAGTATGTGTGCATGTGGGGGGAGGTGGGTGAGAGAGAGAGAAAGCGCAATTTCACTGACCATCAACATGAATTCTCCAGGGAGCACCATAACCCAACAGTGCTCCTCCATCTGCCTCCCTTGGGCAAAGAGCACCCTTCACTGTATCAGCCTTTTGATCTACCCTCCCAGCCTTAAAAGAAGAGATCTCTCTTTTTCCCAAAAACCAGCTGCCTCTCCAACATTCTCACCCTATCCTCCAATGGTCCTTTCCTTCTGTCACCAAATATGTTGATGTTCCTCCTCCACGGAAGATCCTCCCTAGGCTGCTCTCAGGAGAGATGGATCCTGGCCCCGCTCTTCTGTGGACTGGCCATGAGACAGCAAGACTGCTAGCATCATTTCCTCTCACGCTCACCCTAGTACTGCCTCAAATACTGCTTTATTCTGATCTCTTCTTTACTAGCGAAATCACCACACCATTCATTCTCTCTGGACACATCAGAAATATAGCTTTCATGCTCACCACACCATTATAATTGCTTTTTAGAATCATCAGATTGAACCATTGTGCCAAGTCACATAGTCAATACTAGTTCTTAATCCCTTGGACTTTTTAGCTGTATCTGATGTGGCTGAGGAAACTCCTCTTGCAACCCTGTTTTTCTGAGCTTCCCACGCCGATCCCCTCATTGCCTGTTCCTCCCTGTCTCTATTTGTCTGGTCCCACTTGCTTGCCATGGGGCACATGGTTTTATTCACGGTCTGGCAGCCAGCTACACATGTGATGGCTTCAGAGATGATAAAATACATTCTCCAACCCCACATTCCCTGCCCCTACCATGCACAGAGCACCCCGTCACACCAAATATTTGATTGAAGACACATCCCTTTGAGTTAAAGTACTGTGTCTCACAGAATCTTCTATTCAAAAGTAAATAGCTTTCAGAAGCTGTACATTCATCCGTCATCTATTCATACAAAATTAATTTAATAGATAATTCATGTTTCCTCAGAAATAAAATGGTGGCACACTGAGGAAACGGACTCCACTTTGAAGGAATGACAACTCTATTATCTAGATAGAAAAAAAGGCTGAGCATAGTAGCTCAGGCTTATAATCCCAGCACTTTGGGAGGCTAAGGCAGGAGTATCTCCTGAGCCCAGGGGTTTGAGACCAGCCTGGGCAATATAGCAAGACCCTGTCTCTACTGAAAATTTAAAAATTAGCCAGGCATGGTGGCACATACCTGTATTCCCAGCTACTTGGGAGGCTGACAGGATTGCCTGAGCCAAGAAGTTGGAGGTTGCAGTGAGCTATGATCGTGCCACTGCACTCCAGCCTGGGCAACAGAGCAGGACTCTGTCTCTTTAAAAGAGAAAAAGAAAAGAGGGGACAGGAGGGGAGGGAAGGGAAGGGAAGGGAGAAACCATGTTCAAGAAAATGCTGTAAATATATGTTTAATACCTATAAAAAATACTGTTTACGTAATTAAAACACCATAACGAATTCCCATAACTGACGAATGGCAAGGTCATAACCTACACTCCAGAACTCTCACCAAAGATGACAAATCTAACGCTCCCTTAGAAAGCCAAAGGTCTCTGGGAAGGAGGATTCTGGAAAAGTTAAATAGCAATATTTGTCTATGAAGTTTCTGAAATAATATGATGATTTGCTGTCAGAAACATGACAAAGAAGTTTCCTATTCTGCTCAATGTTTTAAGCAAAACAGCCCCTGTACTCTAAGCAGAAAAAACCTGGTCACAGAATTTTGCTGTGAGCCCACAAGGACCTGATTTTTTTTCCCCTAAGTAGCTTTCTCTGCACATGTGCTCTGTGAGGAACACTCAACTCCGTATCATTACTGTCAATAAAGTCTTAGATCCTGACCCTCTTGATGGGCTCACTACCATTTAAACTACTGTTAGCATCAGGAGTTACAGACCAGCCTGGCCAACGTGGTGAAGCCCTGTCTCTACTGAAATACAAAAATTAGCTGGGCATGGTGGTAAGCACTTGTAATCCCAGCTACTTGGGAGGCTGAGGTAGGAGAATCAATTGAACCCAGGAGGCAGAGGTTGCAGTGAGCTGAGATTGTACCATTGCACTCCAGCCTGGTTGACAGAGCAAGACTCCATCTCAAAAATAAATAAGTAAATAAAAAATAAACTACTGTTGGCAATCACCATGCTGAGCATAAATCAACTGGGTGTTCATTTGTCAGAGTTCAGCCTCTAACTTCTGAGGTTGCCCAAGATGCTTCTTCCTATGATCCTGGAGCCCAGATCAGTGAATAGCAAGTAAACTGTCCAGATACTGTATGTGAGGGTGGCCAAGATTAAATTTCTCTTTTCTCTGCCTGCAAGATGTACTATGGTACTAGATTAATAAGATTACACCTCCACTCTGGAGCAAAGTGCCACCTTTAATCATTTTCAGCAGTGTATCACCTGACCCTCCACTTGTTAGGTTTATGAACACTAGGAAAAGATCACCAGGCAACATCAAAAGCCAAAAATACCATGTCTCTGAAGACCTTCTTATGAAGAGTCTTATGAATCAAAACAAGGGCATAGCCACCTGATATTTCACAAACAGAGGGAGGAAAAATTGAGAACCCCTAGTGTTTGTAATAAGGGAACTTTGAAAATTGTATTAAAATCAGAACTATATAGCATTTGCAAGGAATATCCTTACATTGTACACTAACATAAAATGAAATTCAAGCATATCCTAGAAACTAAGTGAATGGTGGATATGACTGGGCTGATTCTTGGGTTCTTTGCCTCCTTATGAGCCTGACTGTCCACGTCCTATGGGAGAAAACAAGGTGGGGTCAGAGGGCAAACAGAGAGTCTCTTGCCCCACTGTAAGTAAATGCTACCATGAACAGGGTCTGATTATAGGAAACATTGCTTAAAGGTGACTTACTTAGTTATTCTTTCCATGAAAGAAGACATCTATCCTTCCATATCAACAAGATGTCTTTTTCCAGAAGCCATTAGAGCAGAAGTTCTTAGTTGCCCTATATCAGGGATTAGAAAATTACAGTCACAGGTCAAGTCTGGCCCACCATCTATTTTTATAAATAAAGTTTTATTGGAACACAGCCATGCTTATTAGTTTACATATTGTCTAGGGCTGCTTTCTTACTTCAGTAGTACAGTTAAGTAGTTATAACAGAGATCTTACAGACTGCAAAGTCTAAGATATTAACTATTTGACCCTTGGCAGAAGAAGTCTACTAACTTTGGCCCTATATCCTCCATGGCAAAATTTAAATAATTAATAAAAGTCAATGTTTATCAAACTTTTTAATGTGCAATGTGGCATTAAACACTATACATGAACTATATAATTAGATCTCTACAACTGCTCTAGAAAGTAGGTACTTTTGTTTTCCTCATTTTAAAAGTGAAGGACCCAAGGCTTACAGAAGTAATAAGGTCTCAGAACTAAGAAGTGGCAAAGGCAGAATTCAAAGCCTGTCAGTCTGACTCCAGTGCCCTGTAACATATTAACCATATAAATGCCGGTATACAGTAGGTGCCATTTACCAAGTGCTAACTATACACTAGCCTTTGCATATATTGTCTCTAAAGCTTACCACTGCCTATGCTTGTATATCCAAAAGATCAGGCAACAGGCACCCAAACTGGCGAAGTGATTTGTCCAAGATCAGATGGCGGACAGTAGAAAATCCTGTGTTCAAACTCAGACTCCATAGTGCTTTCATTATATATGCCATCTCACAGCGGAAAGATAGTATTTCAGAGATAACATAATAGGCATCAGAAATTGTCGTTTTTTTTCTAACTTCCCATTCTGCCTAGAAAGACTATAAGTTAACACGCCCAGGTTCTAGCCCTCACTTAATCATTAATGATCTTTGTGGCTCCTGGCAGGTCTTTTAACCCCTTCTGATGTCAATTTCCTGGTTAGCAAAGGAGGTTGTTCAGATTGGCTGCTCTGTAAGATCTTCCAGCCTCCAATACACTCTAAACCTTCAGTGCTGTCCCTCTGAGAATTATGTCGTCACTTTTGTGCTCTCACACTCTCTCTCTCTTTCTCTCTCTCTCTCTCTCTCTCTCTCTCTCTCTGTGTGTGTGTGTGTGTGTGTGTATGTGTGTGTGTGTGTGTGTGTGTGTGTGTGTTTTCCTGGTAATTACAAACAACTATCTGAATGATCCAGGGAAGTTTTTTATTTAAAACTCTCACTCTCAAAGTGCTGGAATTATATAGGCATGAGCCACTACATCCAGCTCCATTTGTGTAAATTTATTTCTATGACATATTTTTTAAGAGACAGGGTCTAGCTATGTTGCCCAGGCTGGTCTCCTGGGCTCAAGCAATCCTCCCCTCTCAACGTCCAGAGTAGCTGGCACTGCCAGCATACACCACGACACCCAGCTTCTATCATGTCACTTTCAATGGCTACATGATGTTCCGCAATAATTATATACTACAGCTTATTAAAGTGTTCCTATATTCTTAGACATTTAAGTTGTATACATTTCCTACTATTAGAAACTATGTTATGATTAAACATTCATGTATGTGCAATAAATAAATAAAATAAAACTCCTCGTCTGAGATAATCTCTCATCATGGATCCTAATTGCCTTTCATTCAAGACAGAGGCTAAAATCTCCTCCAATAGTACCTTATCATTACAGGATGGCTCATGGAAATAGCTGCTCCTTCTTAGAACACTAAGAGGATTCCAGACACGTGACTCTTACTGCTTCTTCATTAATTTTGTTATCTCTGATTTTATATATTTCAGTTAACCTATTAAACAGCCAGTAAGATCTAATTTCCTAAGGCCAAGATGGGTTAAATGCAGTAAAGTGTACATTTAAAATTATGTAATTTGGTGGATGCCATTGTTTTTCTTTATTGTGAAATTTTAAATCACTAGCATCCATCTGGTAAATTAAGAAAATAAGGCCTATTGCTGTTCCTAAAAGATAGAGCTTGCCCATCAGTGATAGACTGGATAAGGAAAATATGGCACATGTATACCATGGAATATTATGCAGCCATAAAAAAGGATGAGTTCATATCCTTTGCTGGGACACAGATGAAGCTGGAAACTATCATTCTTAGCAAACTAACAGAGGAACAGAAATCCAAACTCCACATGTTCTCACTCATAAGTGGGAGTTGAACAATGAGAACACAGGGAAGGGAACATCACACACGGGGGCCTGTCGGGAGGTAGAAGGGCAAGAGGAGGGTTAGACAGCATTAGGAAAAATGCCTAATGTAGATGACAGGTTGACAGATGCAATAAATCACCATGGCACACGTATACCTAAGTAACAAACCTGCATGTTCTGCACTGGTACCCCAGAACCAGTATAATTAAAAAAAAAGTATAATTAAAAAAAAAAAAATAAATTTAAAAATAAAAAAAAAAAAAAAAAAAAAAAGATAGAGCTTTCCCGATGAGCTGTTTTATCTCTATCTCATTTCCTAATCCTATTATCTTTTTCTATAAATTATCAAACTTTAAGGACCATTGAATTCTCCTGATAGATGCCTTCAGGAGGTTAACAACCACCTCTCAAGCAAAGACTGAGTTCTATGAACTGCCTTTAGCGTTTCTCAAATGGTGGCCCTTCTCAGCCTAGGTCCCCTCACTTTAACTGATGGACAAAACTGACGTAAGAAAATACATCAAGTTTTCTTCTTTTAGTGACTTGTTTAAAAAAGAAAGAAAAAGAAAAAAAGGCCATCTTGCCAGTGATCCCTTTAAGCCTTTTTAATTGCAAAAGAAAATTTTATGGTGCTGCTGACCTAGCCTTAACAGAGTTCATTTCAGAAATGTGCTGAAGTGGGTACCAGTGCTGACAACTAAGGCTGAGAAATGTTTTAAGTATCACGACTCTACATTTTTCTCCTGTCTGTGAGGTTCAGGGATTCATCCTGTCTGAATCACGCCTGCCCTTTGTTTATGCATGAATAAGATATTCTAGACACTGAGGACACCACACAGACACCAGCCCTTCCTGGAAAAATAAGACCTAGACCTCAAATCAGGGTGAATACACGGACTCCCCAGCGCCAACTAATTTCTAAATGTGAATAAAGATACATTGGTTAGCAAGCTTTGTCCGATTCTCCTATTGCCCCCTAACCTTTAGCAAGACAAAAATGTAACATATAATGGATCCTAAAATTAATGGCACATTTTGCTTTTCAGTTGATCAGATCAGCTGAGAATGGGGTCAGTCTCTTACCTCCCTAAGATAAGAGGTTGTCACTGTTTGAGTGCATTTA